CTCTGGCCAAGCACTCTCAGCAGTTAGACAGTCATTAAAGGGCATATGTGAATGAGATTCCCATCCATGCACTATGCAAAGCGTCTGCTGCTGCCAAACTTGTCTCGAGGACCCCACTTTAGAGACCCTTACTCTGTGCCAGAATTGGGAAGAACACCATCAGAATCACCTGGACAGCCTTAAAAGTTCCAGAGACCACACCTGGTCTCCAGGTTCTGGGCATCCATCTCTCTCTCTCTCTCTCTCTCTCTCTCTCTCTTTGTGGTCTTTTTGAGACAGGGAACCTGCAGCCCCAGCTGTCCTGGAACTCACTATGTAGATCACAAACATCCTGGTGGTTCCATTCACCACTCTACAGCCTGAGCATCCTCAGTGGGTTGCTGGGGGTACCTGTGATGGGATGCAGACACCACGTGACCAGAGGGTGACACGTGTTCCAGACCTGCACCTGGGCCCTCTTTTGCAGACTTTTGTGCTCATAATTCTCTTGCCTTGACTGGTCTAGCCCCTCCAGCAAGGGTGCCCACCCTGACACCATCAAGGCTGTGTGGAAGCTGTGCCTGGGGCATTCCTTCCCAGCCTGTGTTCTCTACACTTATTTCCATTTCTTAGTTCTGCCATTCCCTCTGGAGGAAAGCCATTCCAGCCACGGACTGCTTGGTCCCTGGCTTATGTTTGCAACCAGCACAAGCCCTGAGCCAAGCTCCGGGCAGAGAGAAGAGCTCATGGCATGACCTTGCCTACTAACGCTAGGCCGTCTGCCCCTTCCCCTGCTTCGTGTACCGTTCTTCTTCCTCACGCTGTTTCCCTCCTGCTCTCTAAGATTTCTGGAGCCCTGAAACACATCTCTCAGGCATGTTCCAATGCAAGAGGTCCACCCAACCTCAGCCTCAGGCATTAGGTACCACCAAAGCCAACAAAATCTTGTGGCTGAACTCTCCTCCCTAACGAGCCTAGGAGTCACCCGCAGCTCTGTTCATGTGCTCAGACCAGCAGATCTGGATTGTACAACCCACATCAGTGAGCCCAGCTGAGGGTGAGGTGGAGGGAGGCTGGAAACCAGCCCATCTGCAGCTCCTAAACCACAGGATGAGGAAGTGGTCACTGCACCAGGAGATACAGATTCCAGAGGCCTGAGCAGGTCCCAGCCTGGCACTGGGCTCAGCATATGGTGTGGGGAGAATTCACTTCTGGTGAGGTCCATGCCTCCCTGTTCTACAGCACCTCATCCCTCTACGGCTGCAGCTCTATGAGCTGCCAGCAACTCGGGTTCCTCCCCTGGCGGAAGATATTCACCCAAGGTCACTGTCCGTACCTGATCCAAGGAGCCCCAGTGTCCCAACTGCCCCTTCAATGACCATAAGGAACCTTACCTTTGTAACTTGGAAGTCCACTTCAAATTGCTACACACTTACTTCTGGATTTTGATCATTTGAGAAGTTTATCATTTAGCTGAAACATTCGCACAAACTGCATCAAATCTGACGTCCTTTATACAATTCCCTGGTCACGCCTGAGGGTCTGCATGAGCCTCTTCACCCTGACCACCCACCTTTATGCTCACCGCCATGGTGCCTGCCCTGGTGTTTGATCTTCCCTCCCCAAGGGCAGGGATAGTGCCTACCTCCTCTCTCCCTCACCATCTCTCCCTTACATCCCCTGTAGGGCAGAGCCAGCCACTCTGGAATTGTTCATTGAAAAAGACAGGTTCAATACGAAAAGTAGGTTTAGGAGCCTGAGGACCCAGAGGGACCATGCACCCGCTAGCTGCCAACAGTTTCTTCAGACCACCACCATCCACCCAAAGCTCACAGGGCGTGGTGGTGCCTTGCTTTTCCCAGGGGTCAGACAGAGCCATTACTGAGCGCTTGCTGCATGCGTTCCAGAGCGGCCACTCCTACCTGTCTGCACACAAAGTCCCCACCAGGCCCCACAGAAAGTCAGGATGCCCTGACCCTGTTCACCCTGGGACCTAGCACCTGGTCCTTTGTGACTTTGTTGACTGTGGATCCCCATCTAATTGTGACTGGAGACCCTCTGAGGGTTTTCAGAGTGCAGTCTCCGATAGGAGTGCTGGTGGAGGAAGCCAGTACAGTGCCGGAACAACATGGCTTTAGGCCTGGCTTCCCCAGGCAGAGGGGGATTTTTTTTTTTTTTTCTTGCATACTCTTGACTCCAGAAAGCAGCCCAAGTAGCTGGGGTCTGCCAAGTAGCTCAGCTGATTGGTCAACTCCAGGTTCCACATGCGGTAATGCCTGAATGGCAGGCCAGATTCCTATCACTTGTGGTAGTTGGTGAAGGATTCCATTAGGTCTAGAAAGAATCGCAGCATGTCTGAGCAGCATTGGGCATGAATGCTTCCTGTTTGTCCTGATGTTCCTGCAAAGGACAGGGACCTGGGTTTCCCCAGAGTGGGCCAGGCTATCCCTTATCCACTCCATCCTGAGTGTCACAATTCTCTTCACCAACCACAGTTCCCGACCTATCATTGCCAGAGAGAGCCTTCCCAGAAATCCTTCCATGGGCAGAAAGGAATCTGCCTGCCTCCCATACTAGCTGCGTGGTGTAGACATTGAGCCATTTAGCAAAGTTGCAGTCACCGAGAGAGCCAGCCTTTATTAACCCCCAGTGTGTACCCTTCCAGGCCCCTGGACCATAGTTAATGGTTGTACAAAATTTTTCTGAGATGCTTTTAAAACTACAGAAGGTGAGATCTGGGCCACACTGTATCACCCAGGAACCCAGGCCAGGCCAGGACACCCTACCGAGCAAGTCACAAAATCTGTACCATTTCAAGGAGATAAAGAATCCTGGGGGCAAGTCACTGCTGTCTACCCACCCTGGCATGTCTGCTACTTTTTATCCCAAGCTGATCAATGCTGGGAGCGGTGACTGTGGATAAGATGAAATAGGCTGGCTGAACTGGGTTCAACAGTGCCCCTCCCCCAAATTCACGGTCAGCGAGAATCTGTGAATATAACCCTATTTGGAAATGGGGTCTCTGTTGATGTAATCAAGTCAAAATGAGATCATACTGGATTAGAGCAGACACTGAATCCGAGGGCTGGCGTCCTTTGGTGAAGAGGGGAATTGGGGACAGCTGTGTGAAGACACAGGCCAAAGCCGGAGGGCTGCTTCCACACCCCAAGAATGCTGAGGAGTGCCAGCAGCCCCTCAAAACATAGGCCAGACCCTCTCTCAGAGCCTGAGAAAGGAGTCAGCCCTGCCAACATCTGAATTTTAGACTTCTGGACACCTGGACTGTGAGACAGTTGTTTTTTTTGGGGGGGGCACCCAGTTGTGGTCATCTGTCACAGCAGCCACAGAAGACAAACGCAGTGGGCTTTACGGTGCAGCTCTGGTGTGGGACTGGGCCTCTGTGCCAGGATGGGTTAAAAGTCTTGGCTTCATGGTGATTTGGATGAGATGCTTTGGACACTAATGCTGGGAAATCTAGGCAGAGGAGAGCAGTAGGCAAGGCAGGGAGGAGCCTCAAGGCATCTCAGAGAGCCACTGGACCTCTGCTAGACTTGATTCAGACCAGACCAGACCAGACCAGCTCCTAGCTTGGTGCTGCCTCAGCTTACCATACTGGGCAAGGATAGACGTGGCTGCCCAGGCATCCCTCAACTTGAACAGCTGCCTGCCCGTACAGGCATTCCAGGCCAACGCCTTCCCTGTGAACCAGACCCCAGTCCCCATGGTGCTTTCCTTCTGGGGCCCCTACAACTCGCCTCCCCACAAAGGGGTCCCAGTAGGCCTGTACTCTCAGAGGACACTTCCAAGAAAGGTCATTCACAGCCCTTTCACTGGAAGGGGCCAGTTCCCATCCCCAAATTTTGCTGACCACAGAAGCCAAACTGGATAAAAGATCTCATTTCCCCCAAATCATACTGTATTTGGAAATGAGGCTGGACACACTGGCCACACCCAATGCCCAGGTGGGCTGAGCCACATGACCGCAGATAGGAGCAGCTGAGAACCTTCCAAAGGGCTAACCAGAGTGAGGCATCAGGACAGCATCTCTAACGCCTGGGTCAACAGGAACCCAGGCTTCAGTCTGAGTGGGAGAGGGATGCCACATGGGACACAGGATACCCAGCTTGCTGAAACATAGCAAAGCTCACAGCGAAGGTGGGCTTCTGAACTTGTTCCACCATAGGTGCTGGAGAAGCCTTCAAGGGTCAGCTCCAAATGAACCCTCCCATGTCTGCCAGCTTTTTTGGGACCACGTAGCTAGGACCTTTCTATATGACAAGCTAGTGCCCACCTTTTGGGTCAAGGAGTTCTGAGAGTAACATATTTGCTGGGCAATCTAAGCAGACCACAATCCCCTGTCACCCCCCCACCCCACCCTGCTTATTGGTCACCAGGTCTCGGTTTTGTGTGTGATTTTGTGTGTGTGTGTGTGTGCGCACATACACACACGCACATTCTGGAAAAAAAAAAGTCACCAGCAGCAAATGCTCAAATTCCTGGACCCTGCCTGACCATATTTGTGGGGACTCCCAAGCTGGGCATACAGGAACGAGGTCGACTCTACCAACCTTTCTCCCCATCCCTCTCATTTGGGACCTGGGCAGGGGGTGGTGAGAGGGGTTTCCTAGCCCGCCCTGCTTAATACGAAAGCTTCCAAATGGTTGCGCAGAAGCCCTTCTCCACCCAGCCCCCACCTCACCTGTGGAAGTTTCTTCCCTGGGCTCCCAGTCCTTCAGCCACTGCACCCCAGCGTGTCCGCCCCCCCAACTCCCCGCCCCCAGCGCTGGCATCCCGGGGCGGCCGCCTGCCAACACCCGAGCGTTCCCTGGCTCCCTTTTCTGGGGGCCGGGAGCTGCTGCGGAATTTCGGTGGAATTTTGAGGTCGCCAAGCATCTCGGCGCAGAGGAGGAAAGAAAGGGAGAAGACGGGAGGGGGGACAGAAAGTAAGCTTGGGGCGCCCGCTCGCACGACTGCAGCGGCGCGGGGCGGTGGGCGCCGGGCGGGGAGGGGCGCGCGCTTACCTACGTCCGCATTGCAAAACGCCTGTTGCGGGTGCACAGGGGAGCAGCTGCAGGCGTCGGCCGGGCGCAGCAGCGTCGCCAGCAGCAGGAGGCCGAGCGCCAGCCGCAGGCTGCGGGCCGCGGCGCCCATGGCGCGCTGGGGACTCGGCGAGGCTGGGCCGCCGCCTGCGTCCGGCTGCAGTGGCGCGGGCTTGAGGTGGGGGGGACCGGGCACGCCCCTCCTCACCTGCCCCGCTCACCCGCGCAAACTTTCCGGGTTCTTTGTCTCCGGGGCGGCGAGGGGGAGGGCGCGGGGCAGTGCACCGGGTGAAGAAGAAAGAAGCTGGGGAGCGGACGGGCGGGCCGGCGAGCACAGCCCGGCTCGGCGACTCCACTGCCTTCTATGGATGTGTTTGCTGCGGGCTCGGGCCCAGCCGCCGTTTTATTGCGCTCCGAGGATCGGCTGCTCCTCCTCCCGGTGGCTGGCGGCCAGTGCAGGCCGGGCGCTCCCAGCAGCCCTCCTCCCGCGCAGCCCGCGCCTCCCCAGCCCTCCCCAGAACCCGGGCTTTTGTTGTGCCCAGCTTGGCACGGCTGCGGGCTTCCCGCACCACCTGGCACGGCGACGGGGACGGGAGCACGCGCGCAGCGTACCTGGCTCCCTTCTGGGGCCGCACCCACGTAGGGCCCCCTGTCCCCCGAATGGCCTGACTCTCGGGGGGAGCTCAGGCCCAGTCCCTGGAGGGCATCAGCATACTCACACACCCATACACATGCGCGTGCGCCCACGCACGCACACACCACCCACCACCACCTATCCCCCCACCCCCCAGCTCTGAGGTCTGCACTGCTTGATCTCTTGCCCCAAGAGTAGATTCCATGCACCAACTCAGCTTATGGTGGGCGGTGGGCCCTCTGGAGCTGGTGACGCACCCCATGTCCTCTCCTCCTCTGCTAAATGCCCTGGTTGAAACACTGGAAATCCTCTTCCTAGTGGAGGTCTTAGAATTTTAAGTGCCCTTGGCTAGTTGTTAGAGGGAGCTGGAGTGTGGTTACCCTGGACAACAGAGGATGTTCCATGTTTTAAAACAGCAAAAGAGGAGGAGAGGGTCCAGGAACCAGTAGGTGCTAGAGTGCCAGGCTTGTTCAGAGTGCCCCTCCTTTGCCCACAGATGATGGCTTGGAAGGGCTTTTGCCAAAGCAATTCTGCAGTCTCAGAAAGACTAAGGAGGGGACTAAGGTGATGGGACAGTGAGGTGTGGTATTGGGTGACTGTGTCCCTGACTGCTGGTCAGCAAATGGGTCCTGCACAGGGGACATCACTCTTGCCCCCTGACGTTGGCCAACCAGCTAGGGAGACAGAAACTGAGGGAGATGGCAGCGTGTAACTGCAGCTGGGCTGTAACCCAGTGCTTGGGGGCGGGGGTGCTGAGGAAGGAATTCTGACATGGGTTTTGAGGCCAGCTTGAGCTACATAAGAATTCCAGGCCAACCTGGAATACATAAGGAGACCCTATCTCTCTGCCTCCACAAACGGGGGGAGGCGGGCAGGCAGACAGACAGACAGACAGCCTGGAGAAATAGTTCAGCAGTTAAGAGTACTTGCTGCTCTTACAGAACCAGAATTCGGTTCCCAGAACCACATTGGGCAGCTCACAACCACCTGTAACTCCAGCTCCAGGGGATCCAGTCTTCTCAGCTCTACAGGAATCTGCATTCATAGTGCATACATACACATAATCAAAAATAGAAGAAGAAAGACTAACTTCCCGCTATAATGTGTAATTCGGATCTGAGACAGGAAATGTTGGAAAACAGAAAGAGTGGAAAAGTTGTTCCTGTTTCTGCATGCCTCCAGACAGACAGGGCAGACGACAGTTAGACAGGACAGTTATTTTTAGCACCTTGACAAATCCAAAGTCATTTTTTGGCTTTTTCTAACCTAAAATAGAGTTCTGATGTCCATAAACTGATGTCTGAGGCTGACTTTTTTTTTTTTCTTTTTTTTTTTTGTCTTTTTTAAGCACGGTCTCCCTGTAGCCCCAGCTGTCCTGGAACTCACTATGTAGACCAGGCTGGCCTTGAACTCACAGAGATCCGCCTGCCTCTGCCTCCCAAGTGCTGGGACTACAGGTAGCGTGTGCCACCACGCCCGGGTTAAACTGACTTTTTTAAAAGAAGAGTTGAGGGACTGGGGAGATGGTTCAGTCTGTAAAGTGCTTGTTCTGTAAGCATGAGGACCTGAGTTCAATCCCCAGAACCCACATAAATAAACCTAGCATGGTGGCATGTGCTTTTTAATCCAGCACTGGGAATTCTTATGTAGCTCAAACTGGCCTCAAAACCCATGTCAGACTTCCTTCCTCAGCCCCCCAAACACTGGGTTACAGCCCAGCTGCAATTACACGCTGCCATCTCCCTCAGTTTCTGTCTCCCTAGCTGGTTGGTTTAGGCAGAGACAGGTGAATTCCTGAGTTGCCTTGGCCAGCCAGCCTAGCCTAATCAGTCTCAGTTTCCAGTGAGAGACCCTGTCTCAAAAAAATAAGGCTGGAGAGATGGCTCGGCAGCTAAAGAGCACTGACTGCTCTTGGATCTGGTTCCCAACCCCTACAAGGGAGCTCACAACCATCTGTAACTGTAACTACAACTACTAGGGGATCCAATGTGGTCTTCTGGCTTCTGTGGGTACCGTGCATGCATGTAGTGTCCATATATACATGCAAAACACTCATACATGTTAGATAAATAGGCCGGGCGTGGTGGGGCACACCTTTAATCACAGCACTCGGGAGGCAGAGACAGGCGGATCTCTGTGAGTTCAAGGCCAGCCTGGTCTACATAGTGAGTTCCAGGACAGCTGGGGATACAGAGAGACCCTGTCTCAAAGAGACAAAAAAAATTAAATAAATAAATAAACCAATAAATACAAGGTAGATGGGGCTAGAGAGGTGGCTCAGCAGTTAAGAGTACTTGCTGCTTGTCTAGAGGACCCGAGTTTAGTTCCTAGCACCCACATCAGACAACATACAACCACCTGTAACTCCGGCTTAGGGGAACTGACACCCTCTTCTGAGCTCCTCTGGCACCTGTATACAGGTGGCATTCACTTACACAGACATACATACACATCATTTAAAAAACAAGTAGATGACTCCTGAGGATCGACACCTGAAACACACACACACACACAAACACACACACACACACACACACACACACAGCTGGGCTGCAGCTGGGTGGCGTCCCCCCAGAGCCTGGCTCCTCCCACCTGCATCTTCTCACCTGCATTGAAGGTTCCATTCCCCTGAACCATTGCTCCCTGTCTTTTAAATTTTATTTATTGGTGCTGGAGAGATGGCTCAGCACTTAAAAGATCACTTGCTATCTTTCCAGAAGGACCCGGGTTCAGTTCCCAGCACCCACATTGGCTGGCTCATACCTAATACCTATAACTCCAGTTCCAGGAGATCTGACTTCCTCTTCTAGCCTCTGCAGGCACCTGAACTCATGTGCACAGACACATATATACACATAATTAAAAATAAAGGCAGAGGCAGGTGAATCGCTGTGAGTTCAAGGCCAGCCTGATCTACATAGTCAGTTCCAGGCCAGCTGGGGCTACAGGGAGACCCTGTCTCAAAAAAGACCAAAAATAAATAAAATAAATCTTAAGAATAAAACAAGCCTTTACTTATTATTATTGTGTGTGTGTATGTGCATCATGCATGTACTACAGCATGTGTGTGGAGGTCAGAGAGCAACTTTGTGGAGTCAGTTTTCTCCCACCTTTACATGGGTTCTAGGGATCAAACTGAGATCAACAGTCTTGGGTGGCAAGTGCTTTTATCTGCTGAGCCATCTCACTAGTTCCATTTTTAATTTTTATTTTAGTTGTGCTGGGAGTTGAACCAAGGGCCTTGTGCATGCTAGGCAAGTGTTCTACCAACTGAGCTACACCCCCAGCCTGATACTGACTTTCTTAGAGAGATGTGGGTCTTCCAAAAAAAAATTATTGATTTCAATTCTAGTGCTAGAAAGCACCTCATCTCCACATTTCCCCAGGCAGGATTCTGGGTGAAAAACCCTCCCCTCTCTCTGGGTCTAGCCTCTTCCTTCTCTATCAACAAATATGCCTGGGTATCACACTGAGAGCAAGACTCTGCTGTCTACAGGTCTGAGGACATCGGGTAGGAAGTCCCCCAGGCCCTGAGGCTGGACCATGCTGGCCTTAGTGGAGATCAGTGATGTGCCCAAGGAGAAGGAGGAAGGAGGATAGTAGCTAGGTCAGAGGGCTCTAATGTCTGGAGGTCTGGATGCTGGGAACCAAACCCGGGTCCTCTACAAAAGCAGCCAGTGCTCTTAATCACTGAGCCATCTCTCCAGCCCCCTAGTCTGTTTTCTTATACAACCCAGAACCACCTGCCCGGAGATGGCACTGCTTGCAGTGTGCTGGACCCCCTAACATCACTCAACCATCAAGAAAATGTCTCATAGACCTGCCTGTAGGCCAGTCTGATAGAGGAAATCCCACAATTGAGGTTCCCCCTTCCCAGGTGTGTCAAGTTGAGAAACAGAAGCCTAGGAAGAGGAGCAGCAACTGATGTCCAGGCTCGCATTCCAGCTCATCTCCAGCCTTCAGCCCTCATCCTGCCGCCTGGTGCTATGGGGTCCTGGCTGCAGGCCCAGCCTCAGACCCTGTCCATCCTCTCTCCTCCCCTACAATTAGAACCCTTCCATTCCTACCTAGGAGGCCAAGCCTTCAAAGACCAGGAGCTGTCTGGAGATGGGATTGGGGCTTTGCATCTGACCCCCAGCTTTCTCATGCTCCAAGGTTGGGGAGCTCCACGGTGCAGCCCTAGCTTGGGGAAAGAACGGCCACTCTACCCTTACCCCAACCCTAAGGGAGGATGGGGTCAGGATGCTCCAGGATGGGGCGAGCCCTGGAGCAATGAAAGGGGACTGGGTATGGCCACTCCCTGCCATCACCATCACCCCTAAACAGTCTACGTCTCCATTTTTCTCAGGGATGGGTAGGGGAGCTAGAATCTTTGTTCTCTGACATCCCAGGCTGGCCTCAAACTTGATATGTACTTTAGGATGACCTTGAACTTCTGATTCTCTCCTGAGTGCTGGGATTCAGGTGTCTGCCACCATACCCAAGGTTTATGTGATGCTGGGAGTGTCATAAATGCCAGGCAAACACTATCAAATCAGCTATTATCCCTATCTCTCTGCCCTTCCTCTTGATGACGGTGAGTGGGCGAACAGAGAAGCCAGAGGCTGCATCTCCGGGCCTGCTTGGGGCCTGCTAGACAGTGTCTCAGGCACTCTGCAGACAAATGGGAAGTGGCCAGGCCAACAAGTAGGAGGTCTGGTGGAGGGGACTTTCAGGCCGGCGGATCACACTTTCGGGTTTATCATACTTGCCTTGTACCCCAGTCCTACA